AGCCAGAGTGAATTTCGACGACAAAGTACCCTGTTCAAAGTATTGCAAGTAGCCCTTGGCGAGTGGCGACGCACAACGCGCTGTTGGGCCATCTTTGTGGGGAAGTTTGAAGTATGTATGTTGGAAGTCCGATTTCAGCTTGGGATTCGTCTCTTCTGACATGTCGCAGCTGACCACATTGCTGTGCTCGTATTTCCCAGTGTCCTTATTCGGCACGCGAAAGGTCCAACCGTGTTGATCAGACCATACCAGAGGATAGCCATCCCAAGACAACTTCAACAACAGCGGAGCAATTCTCGTGCGCACCGTCAAGTTTATCGGAGACGCGTTGGAGGTGAATAGATCTCGATACCAGTTGGGCGCGCCAGGTTTCTTTTGTCGAGCCACGGGAACAGGGGCCTCGCCCTTCTTCTTAGCTTTCTTATATTTGATCTCTTGACCTGTCCAGTCAAGCTGGTTGAGCCACGGATCATTTTCGTAGACTTCTGGCTTTTCCTTGACCTCCAACGCCGCCTCTGACAGTTGCAAAAGCCGCTGCTCGACATCTTTCAGTCTTTGGAGATACGTCTTCTCTGCTCGGGCAACATACTCATCCCAAGACTTGTCGACAGGGAGGATGACGGACGACAAATGCCGTAGTGCGGCAAAGCTGACAGGATGTGGACAGGTCTCGAGGAAATTGGGAAAGACTTTCTGGAAGACTTTGTGCGTGATCGCCACATCGGCGGCGCAGTAGTCGAGCAACTCTTCAATTCGCTGAACGATGCCTTCTCGGTCCAGTTCACCAAAGTAGTCTCTTTGACTCTTGTCGATAGTGATGCCTGTATGGAACTTGGCCACATCCCGTAATGAGTTGATTGAGCTCCGGCCGACCCAAAGCTCCTCCTCTTCCTCGCTCAGCATCTTACTCTCAAGCATCCTCTGCAGCTCTACCGAGTTGTGCTCACTTGACATTTTGTCCCGCAAATCCCTGTTCTTCTTGTGCTTCATCCAGGTTGGCCGCTGCCTAGAGCACATACCATTGACAGCCACATGTAGCGACATGGTGTCGATGAAGAAATTCCGCGACTGCTGTAGGTCGTACTCCTCCTTGACTCTCGCCCGGTCATACCCAATATTGTGTCCAACCACGATCCGCGGTTTGCTTGGGTCGCCCAAAGGTATCAATTGCCTCGGGTTTGTCGTTTCCCCCAGCAGCCAGGGCGATATCCAAGCATACCACGCCGTAGGACTAGCAGCGGTGGCCATGACCGCAAAGGGCGATTCTTTCCACATGGTTTCCACATCGAATGACAGCATCGCGTCGTCTGGCGCATCCACCTCTTCCGTCGTCATATCCGGGTTATACTTTGTCCACCCGCTTCGAATCACCCATTTCCGTGGTCTTTGAGGGGTGTTTGCTCGCACAAATGCCTTGCCATACGACAGGTACGGCTCGGCTGCGTCGAGGCCCAGTTTGGTGAAGTGCTCGTCCAAACAACTTCCAATGACCGGTGGTGCATCCAATCCGATGGGCGGGGTATTGTCCTGATTTTTCCCCAACAGGTCATGTCGCCGGAGGTGGTCCTTGGACAATTCAACCAGCTCGGGGCGTGGTCGAGTGGCCCCAGAAGGAAAAACTTGGGGATGGAGGTAGTCGCTTAGTTGTTGTATGCCTATCTCATTGTACCTAGGATTCGCGACTCGGGCGAGGGACTTTCGATCGGCCGGCGAATCATTGCGGGAGCGGTCAATGTCGGAGGCATAGTGTCGGCGCAGGATGGCAGCCGCTCGCGATGCAAATTGTGGCCGCAACCGGAATTTTTGCGACGTTCTGATGTAGCCTCGCGCACATTGCGCGGGTGTAGGAGGCCACAGCATCTATGCGACTATGTTCGGTCACGGCGAGACATGGTGAAAGGGAGTTGAGGTGGGTAGTCCAGAATAGGAGTCTTGACGTTGTAGACTCAGGAGACGAACACGCGATGCGCAAATGGCGGCGCCCCATTGTGGAGAGATAAGAGTTCCTATCGCCACGTGACAGCCCCCTTACTCCCAACTTGGTAGATACTTTGGTGCTTTTCTCTTTACGTCTATTACCATACTGTGTACACAACCCGCTCGGCAAACACTAGCGCTTGACACGACCTGGTTGATCTGGGACGAAGCAATGGCATTCAACGCCAAAAACCTACAGTACAACAAGCAAGAGCCTTCCTTTCTCCGTAGATTGAAAGGTGAAGTTGGAGGGCTCGATGGACGAAACAACGTCCAGATCCCTCGACCAAAGAGGGACAGGTTAAAGACCGGCGACGACGATGAGGACGAACCTGTGATTTTGGATGAGCGAGGTGAGCGGGTCGAAAAGGCCGAGTTCGAGCGGATGATGAAGGGAGAAGACGGAACTCCAAACCCTTCCGAGACGGAAGATGCTGGTGCTACAGTGGCTCAAGGGGCCGGACACCAGGATGGCGAACACCCTGATAGACAGAAGGTGACAGAGATTGGCTCTGCGGCTAATGCGAAGAAGAGGAAGGTCGGCAAGGTTGTTGGAGGCGAGGATGAGCAGGAGGCAGGCACCAACCATGGAACGGAGAACACGACGAAACGCAAGGACCCTCCCAAGGAGAAAGACGAGAATCCCGCTGCGGCAAAAATCGGACCGTCTGCAGCAAAGCCTGCAGCTAAGAAGAAAGGAAAGAAAATCAAGTTGTCCTTTGACGATCCAGAAGGATGAAGAGAACGACATTGGCTCTCCCACCGTTGAAAAGCCATTCAGAATGGTAACAACGAATGGGCTATCCCATCAGGATCGCATACCGGACGAGGTTGCGTTCCAGGAATGACCCATGGAGGAATTCGAGTCAGACTACGTCCCTACCTTGATGTATCGGGATTGACCAGCCGTGGAAAGGGTTAAAGACCTAGTCCATGATCTCCGACCGCCACAAAATCCTCGGGCTAAAAACCTGAGAGTGTTTTGGGCAACACCTGACGAGAAAAAATGATACGGATTGAAAAGAACCCCGTCCGAGTCAAAGAGCTGGATACGAGTACATGTCAGCAGCCTGGGCATGCGACGATATCACCATTGAAAGTCAAATATAAAACACAGAGCGTGGTATAATGGATCCCGCCGAACCAGCCCTCGATGGAAACGCCAGGCACATCTCATCCCATCTCCCTCATGATCCGCCCAATCTCTCTCCGAGCAAACTTTTCTCTCTCAGGCTTGGGCATCTCAGATCCAGCCTCGCGGATAGCGACGACTCTCTCCATCAGCACCTGCAGCTGCTCGACCTGGGTGTCTTCATCTTCTCGACCCCTTCCGGATCCCTCCCGGTTATCCTCATCACTGTCATCACCATCATTTTCGAGCATCGACATCTTCAACTCCATTATCTCGCGCTGGAGCTCCTGATCAAAACCCAGGAGACCCGCGGTATTTCCGAGGATGTCTTTTGAAGTAGAAGAAAAGAGGTCGTCAGCGTCCTCGTCATCATCATCATCATCAAGTTCCGCCAACTCATAGTCTCCGTGTCCATCATGCTCACCGTCCAAATCGGGCGATGCCGACCAATCTACCCCCTCGAGCACCTCGATGACGCGCTTAATCCCCGTCTTCTCGCCGAACTGATTTCTCTCGTCCTCTGCACCCCTGTTTCCATCCTCCGCCTCCGCCGCCTCCATTGCACTCTTCCCATCTTTCCCCTCGGTTGCCACCCCCTCGAGCTGCCCATCCCACGCGACAAAGTCCCACCCCAATATGCCCTCTTCGGACAAACAGAGCTCTTCCAGTCGCTCCGCCGTCTCGTCTAACTTGGCCTTGCTCACCGCCGGCGCCATAGCCTGGAGGACCACGACAGAAGCGACGTCCCGCGTGTAGCTCTCGCCCTCGATCGCCTCGCGCAGTGCATGGACAGTCTCGATGGGCGAGACGTATGAACGTAGAACCTCTGCATTTGGTAATTGCGATGTAACCAGGGGGAGGACGAGTATGATTCCACCGATCACGGCGCGGACCTCTGCCGCCTCGGACGAGAGCATCTGCTCTCTCCAGTGCGAGAGGGTCACGGGCTCAGACTCAGACTCGGAGGACACCTTCCCCGATGCCTCTGCCGTTGCCACCGCCTTTTTCCCGCCATCTGCGTTGCCATGTTCCAAAGTCACAGTCAAAGGCAGTTCGTCACACCAGATCCCCACGTTGGCGGCGTAGTATTTCGTCCTCAACCGCAGCGGCGGGTGCGAGGTATACCCCGCAAAAGAGGCGACGTCGTCTGACGGCCGCGAGCCGGTGATCGCCTCTAGAAACGGGCGGAGCGGCGGCGTTGTCGTGTTGTTCGGAGGTGATGGCGAGAGGATCAGGAGGCGGAAGGCCGATGGCTTTGCAGGTTGTGATGGTGGCGGTGGTGGTTGTGATAGTGACTTTGATGGCATCATCGTCCCTCTTCTGCCCTCCCCCTCCGCCAGAGGTGTCTGGTTGGTTGGTTGGTTCGTTAGTTACTCAAAAAGAAGCCGGTTCTCGGTCCCTCAGCAGACGGTCTTGATGATCCAAATACCAGGTCGAATTCTATGACTACCTGATAAACTACTAAACAAATATTTCGCGGGTTCGAGAATCGAGGGTTTCAATTCTTAATATAATACCGAGTGTCTCTCAGCCTTGGCGGGCTGGCAGGTCGTTGTTTTCTAATGCATTCGTAAGCGAAAGGGCCACAATTGTGACACCCTGCCGCGCATTTTCATTCATATTGAGGCATCAGGAGTCATCCAACCCGTCACAGTCTGCTTTTAAGCTAGGCTCGATTCCAGTATGGTTCATAGATATCCTGGAGTGCGGCCATATCTTCCAGAGTTCTGTTTTCTCACACACCGTTTTCTTTTCTCGCTTCCTTGTCGCCGCTGAGCCCGTGCCCTTCCATGCGCGACAGATCTTCTGCTCTTCTAAGTAAAGAGTTCGCGCGCACTTCCTGAAGAAACCATTTCCCAATTTCGCCGTTCCCATAATGGTCAATGTGCATTTAATTCCTCCTTCCAGCCCGCGCCCGGTTGACTGTAGCTCTTCCTCTTGCCAATCCCACACCGCGACCTCTGGTGCCTCTCGATCTGAACATGGGCGCATTCCGCAGCATGTCGGGGACGATGAAGAAGCGTACGTGGCTGCCTCGGATGTAGACTTGATCGAGATGCGACACTCGGCCGTCGCGTGCCGTGGCGGTGATGTCCTTCAGCTGGACATTCATGTTATCTTCGGCTGTTCAGATTGTAGATGTTAGCCTCACAGTACAAGCCGTAGGTTGAACGGGTAATCGCAAGGAAAATAAAGTGAGGCGCACCTTCGAGCAGCTTTCCTCGGTATACCTGACCGGATGTGAGTTCCAAAGTCACCACATGACCCTGCACGGCGCGTAGATCGTCAGTATTATCCAGTATCGCTTATGGGCCAATGTGAAGTGCTCACCTGTGCCTCGTTGAGCAGCTTGATCGGGATGCCGATGGTGGAGGTGAGTTTGCCCATCGTGGGCGATCACAGGGGCAAAGGCTCGGCGCAAAAATGGCGATTGAGGGCGACAATGGGGAGACACAGGTCAGAGCAGTAGCAACAAAATCGAGGCGGCTGCAAGAGATCCAAGGTTGGAGGTTGAAGTCGAGGCACTTTGGTTTGGAGGCACCGCAGCCCACGAAAATCAAAGCAACATTTGACATTTTGAACCTGCATGACTAAGTCCGACTTAACTCCGCATCATTGTTCATCACTTCGAATCTGCGTCTCCATCCTCCTTCGCGTTGGGCTCGACTCCCTCCAAGAAAGAAAGAATCGAGCCATACTTTGACATGCCACTCTTTTCTAATGTCCCCGCGCTTCGCCTGACCCTAGCCTACGCTCTGAACGAGCCGTCGTGCTTGCTTCCACACAGAACCATTCCGACCCTGCTCCCACTCCCACTACCCGTTGGCCCTTGGCTTCCCTCTCTCAATGCCGTCGGCAAGAAACCTACCATTCGTGCGCTTGTCATAGACAAAGACAACACCCTATGTCCACCGGAGACGGTGAAACTGCACCAGGCATATATACACAAGATCGAAAAGATCAAGGCGAGCGACGAGTTCAGCCACAGCCCGCACAGCATCTTGATCGTTTCCAACACTGCGGGAAGCTCCTCTGCGCCGGAACATGAAGCTGAGGCCAAGCAGCTGGAGACGGAACTGGGCCTTCCTGTCCTGAGACAGCATCCCGAGCGCAAGAAACCGTTCTGCGGGCCGGATATTCTACAATACTTCAAGGACCATGGCGTCACAGAGGATCCCAAGGAGATCGTAGTTGTGGGAGATCGCCTGGCCACCGACGTCCTCCTGGCCCGCGAGATGGGGAGCTGGAGTATTTGGATCCGCGACGGATGGCGTAACCCGGAAACGCCTGGGCGAGACTACAGGGGATTCTTCAGTAAGATAGAGAGCCGCTTCGAACGAGTTATGCGAGGTGGGATGGGAAGGGTAGCTCCGCTACCAAAGGATGTATCATCATGAGGGAGACCAAAAAAGGCCAGAAGCAATTTCGTCTTCAATTCATTACTATCTCGAGTTACCCATGACTGGGATCCTCGACGCTTTGCTGGGTGGCACGCGATGTTTCCGGCTTAGCCAACACCGGATAAACCATCATTTTCAACGGCTTGCCAACTGGTCTCCATCAACCGAGCTCCCGGAAGTGACAGTCGGCGTCTCCCTTATCGAAGAATGGTATGGAGGAAGAGACTTGGTGTCACCCGGGATAGTAGAAATCACTGCAGGCAGCTCGGACACATTGGAGGGAAAATTAAGCTGGCTGGTGCTTGTCGACTGGAGTCTGGCCAGTGGTGACTCGGATGGGCTGGCAATGGGCATCGAGTTCGTCCTGGCCATCAAGTCCCGCTTGACCAGGGCACTATTGTCGGACGTGACCCTTCTGCTCACGATCTCTGCCACGGCTTCTTTGAGAGAAAACTTATTCTCCTTGACTCTGACCTCCATCCGGCCGGAAAAGGGGATCCTGGTCCAAGTACTTTTGTCCTCGACGACGGGCAGCTCTGCCTCACTTCCTTCGGGAGAGGCGAACATGACAAACCTCACACCTTCAAAGAAGACTGTGTGGCTCGACCCGGAATTGACCAGACACGTCGCGCGTTTCAAGTCGATCTGATGCCGCGAGCATCTGGCCCGGTGGGAAATGATTGTTTCGATGGCTTCGTCTCGGCCGATATTCCGCTCCGACTCGTTCTCGTTGTCTGTAAAGTCTCTGGAGAAGAGACTGTTGAGGTTGGCGCGGCTCGGATTGGTATTGTCATATTCGAGAAACAGCCTCTTGAGGCACTGCAGGCCTTGGGGTGACTTTGTCGTGATGGCGTGGTATGAGGCGCTGTGGTCGTGGAGCTGGACTTTGCTCATGCTGACTGAGTATTTTTGTCCTGGGGTGGTTGACGTTGACAGAGAGTGAAGACGATCTTTTATTCTTTACTCTTCACACCTGATCGACTGCCTGGTGCTTTTTTCTTATTCTGTTCGTTGTACTCGTCCTTCACCTTCACCTGTACAATTCCTTGTCGCGTTGTTGTTGTTGTTGTTGATCGATGTATGTACCAAGTAGAGAAGCCACAGTCCTCAATCCTCACTCAGTCTCTCGTCTCTCAGGAACCCAGTTCGTGCCAGTGTGTGCTAGTGCCAGTGCCGGGGTTAGTTTCACGTTTCACGATCTTGTTTCAGGCCCTCCGCCTCCCCTGGTGTCTTTCCCCCCGTTGTCATCTCCCCATCCAATCTCGTTGCCATTTCCAATGGGTGTTAAGCGCGCCACATACACACCACACATGGACATGCATCCCATCACAGCACAACGCAGCACATAATACTAGCTGGTGTAGGCACAAGTACCTCGTACTCCGCACTCGGTAGGTAGTCGTGGTACGTCATAGTCGAAAGATAAGGCCTCCCAAGGCGCGCCGCCACTACGAGTCTACGAGGCTACTGTGCGAGGTACATATGTAGTGATATAAGTTACTCGTGCGGCCCAGCTGAAAATATTACCAGCTCTCTCTCTCTCGCACGCGCGCGCCGCCTACCGAGGTTAGTTGGGTCGAGTTGTTGTCTGGATTCAGAAGGCGTTCTGTTCTGCCGTTCTGGCGTTAACTAATTAACTTAACTAACGGTCCGTGCTGGTGCTCGTACTCGTAAAACACTGGGTCGGAGGCGTTGAGGAGCTGAGGAGGTAACGCGATCGGGCGAACTATGCGAGGTGCGAGGTTCTGTGACTTGTGATTGGACTACTCGAGTAATTACCCCGTACATACGCGCAGGTAACTATGTACATAGGTAGCGAGCAGGCTAAGTGCTTCGAGCCTCAGTGGGTAAAAGGATGGGGTTGGCCAGTGAGCGACTCCGTAGGTAGGTGGGTACATACATACGTTTGTAGGGAGCTCGGGAGGTATGTATGTATGTATGTATCCATGTAGATCCTCAAGTCCTTCTGTAGCCAGCCGTCGATCCACTGTGAGTCTACTACCTCGTACTGTTTGGACCAAGTACTCGTATGTACTCCGTACAGTACGGAATACCTAGGCAGGCAGCACCAGCACGGCTGTCCGGGGGTGTTGTGCCGAAGTTCTACTCGGTACAGTATGGGGTAATAGTGAGACCACATACTTGGCAATAATGGTAAATCGGTACCTACCTACATAGGTACTCCGTGAGTTCGGAGCCCGAGGAATATCTCATGAACATGCAGCGAACTACTGTACTTTTCCTACGCTGTCTTATGTCATGCCGTACCATACCATCAATCCACTCCCACCCTCCCTCCTCCCTCCCTGCCTCTGTGCTGGTCAGGTCTGTGAGGTGTGTATGTTCGTATGCCCCCCTCTATCCATTCGTGTTGGCAGGATGATGCCTTCGAGCAACGATGCTAGGCATGTATGTAGCAGCGTCTTATCGAGGTACCAAGTACCCCACATACTTTTATAATCTTGTATGGTAGAAAAAGGAAGACCATCCTTTCTAGCGAACGGGCTATCGTACCATGCCCTCATGACTTTCTCCGAGCCTTTCCATTGAGTTTTCCTACATGAAATTCTGTCATGGATCTTGGTTTACGCCGCGGCCCGTCCCTGAAAGTAATGACTGCTTGAGTAGTTGGCAGGCTGGATGGAGAAAAGTATAACAGAAACTCAAAGCCGAGGAATGAATTAACCCAAGATTGATCGCTGACCGACGATACCTCATACAAAAAGAGAGAGACACAAAGCAAAGAGAGCAAAGGGTAGAGAGAGAGAAAAAAAAAAAAAAAAGAAAAAAGAAAAAACACCTCGCTAAACTATGTAGACGACGTTATCAACAATGGGTGTCCCGCTCCCCCTTTCCCGCTTCGTCAAACAACAAAGTCCCAATCTCAAGTCCCGTCACTTTCTTCACCAGTATCTTCAACATGCCTCTTGCGCACCCCTCATCTCGCATAGATGTTTGCCGAACTAGGAGAAAGAACCGGTGGAAGCTGTCCCTCGGGAAGGAAAAAAAAAGGTTGTCAGATCGCAGATCGCAAAACACCCGGCGCCGGTGGCTAGCTGTGTCCACTCACGAAACCCCCTACGACACTGTACGACTCGTTCTGTTTGCGAAGTGTCAGAAAAAGTGAAAGGACTCGGGCTCAAGTTCCCCCCAAAATATTTGAAGAGCAGGGTTAGAAGGAGAACGCAAGAGATTCAGACGTACAAGTGAAATACCCTCCAGCTGCACCGCGACGTTGTTCATGGTGGTGTGGAGCTGCGAGTCAAACGCCAGGTAGACTTGGTCGTCGTGGACCTGCTTCAGGAACATAAACAGGTTGAGGCAGTGGCCCTCGGTCCGCAGCTGGTGGACGCAGCTGGTCACGAGGGGATCGCTCCAGACGGCGCCGCCGGGCTGGGAACTTCCGGGCGTCGCGATGGTGTTGACCACGGTTGTCAGGTCCTGGAGGCCCTGGTGTAGGTTTTCGTCGTGCGACATGTCGGCGTACGAGTGGGCGAGCCGTTGCAGGAACATGATCAGGCTCTCGTACTGGGTCACGTCGATCATGTAGGGGACTTCGCTGGCCATGTCGTGGATCTCGGTCTCGAAATGGGACGAGTCAAAGTGTGCCGTCATTTTGTGTTCTGGAGAGGTGGTTCTCGAAGTGGGCGCTTCGTGGACTCAGAAACTCAGGGTTGACGTTCTGTTGGGGTTCGTTAAGAAAAGGGGTGTACGTTCCTGTCGAGCTTAGAGAGAAGAAGATAGCCCTTCTGCAACGATCTGGGATCTCACATATCTTATACCTGCCTGTTCCAGTCGCCGTCGAAGCCAGCCACCTCCTACCAGGGTATAGACGACGAGATACGACCGCTCAGCCGTAATCGAAATAGTATACTCACGTTATACACCTCTGAAAGGCCAGCCTACGGGCCATATAAAAAAAGCTCATCCCTTGCATAAAGCGGCCCTTGACCTGTCTATCTCGCTGCTAGCCATCACTAAGCGACAGCCCGCTCCCAAGTAAAGCACTGATGGCTTCTGGCTGATTCTACTTGGGGGCCTCGGTTGTCGTTTCCGTACATAGACAAACCACCAGATCGAGATTCCGACGAAGATATGCGTCGTATACTAGGAACGGTAGGTGGTTCGGCAGGAGTAGTCGTCCACATTGTAGCCGCTGCTGACTGACCCACCCGAAATCTCTTGACAAGCTTGGAGATCGTGGCATTTTCGAAAGCATGGATGAGGTCAGCAACGGCTGTGTTGTACAGGAACAGTGGCTAGTCGCGGGGATCTCGACGTCCAAGCTAGATTGTACCGCCGACGCCATACACCTTCGATAAGCCCATAAACAGCATCAGCAAAGGCCGATTCGCCGGAGAGAATAGCTGTGGGGAGCCAAGACCTTGTCTGAGTAGCTATGTTCGAATCTCTGACCATGGGGGTATCGTGCTCGAGGCCAAAAGGAACGATCTTGTCCAAAGCAGCGAATGCTTGGCTTCAAAGACGTCGCTCCAGCCCCACTTAGTGATATAGAAGATATTCCAAACAGGCTCATGGGGCCACTTCTGACATCCTAGATTTCGAAGACGTCCAGTATCGTAGTGATGGTTGGCGGTGTCCGTAGGATATAGGCAATAACAATAACTATCAACATTAGGAGACCCTCAAATTCAAACCGAGCTTCTGCACCGGTAACTTGGTCGGAATCGGAGGGAGAATCGTGATGGCTTGGGGCAATCGTCCTGTCAAGCCCTGTGGCAATGGACGGGTACAACACCTGGTGGAACCAGTCTTGCACACACTCACACGTAGATGACTGACTAGGGTCCCATTGCAGCCCCGATGCGATAGCCGTGTAGGAGAGTTTCAAGTCCTTGTAGCGGCGTGCGTTTTCCTATTTGGGAAACATGATGGGAATTCTGCAATAGAAACGTTATCTGCTTACATCGGACCGTGAATAGAGTATGAGTAGTTGGTCTCCGAACACCATCGATAGCCTTCTTTTGGCTATGGCAGTGCTGGGAAGGGTATGCAGCAGTCAGCTGTACACGGGGGTGTTTTGCGTCCACTTCCGATCGGCATCTGTGAGGCTGTACAGTTCCTTTGCGGCGACCACCGCTGGTTGATGCCGTGTGCTCTGATCTAGGAGCGCTTGAGGGACGGACCTCCAACATAGTACTGACACGAACTCGCGTCAACTCGTGACTCTGCACTCTTTCATAGGGCACCCAGCCACGAGGCCCAAGTCGGACAGCGACACATTCGTCAGGGTATGGGGGTCGATGGAGGGGAATCCCCAAAGCGGTAGTGACCTGGGAGAAGGAGAAAAGGTGTTCGGGAGTTCTGATCACGTATTCGCGCTGGCTGAACGACGTGACGCCGAAGACGAGGCTGGCGAATCAGCGCTGTCATCATGGGGGCCACAGATTTTGCCAAGAGCCTTGGCACTATCAACGGGCTGAACCACATGGTCCCATTCGGAAGCCAACTCCCGGATGGGGGGAAAACAAAGGCTGAATGCAGCCTCCCGAATGTCTCTGATCATCTCATTTAGAAAAGGACATGGGTAACCCATGCAATCATGTGGCAGACCGAGGGCAGTCAACTCCAAAGAGCGTGAACCAAGCTATTTGGCTCGCAGACCACATGAACCCCCCAAAACACCATGCGTTGCAATCACTAACAGATACACTTGTTGGAAAACCTGGCTACACACTTGCCTTCATATTCGTCATGTCACTGTCATGTTCATTCATTGCCATTTCGTCATAGAAACAAGATTCCCATTCGCTCAGCCTCTGAAACAATCCCGACCCCAGCGCCATGCCCGGGAAACCGCAACCGCAACCGCAACCGCAAATGAAAAAGCATGGCGACCAGCAATGCAGATTTGCAACCTGTCCACCCCACGGTTCGCCTCAAGCATATCCCGCCGCACCGCTCCCTTTATCCAGCCCACCGGAATGTCCAGATTAATCCATTAAACCCCTTCTTCGGAATCAATCTCTCGCCCCACAAGATTGTAACGACCTGCTGGCATTGATCTGCTACGTCGGCGAAGGAACCTCTACCTGCACCCGGCCTTAGCTGCTGCGCCAAATCTTGCACCAAGCCGCTCAACGCCTGCCATTTCTTGTCACCCGTCTTGTTTTTCTGCTTCATACTCTGCAGTTCGACGGTACCGTTATTATGAATGCGACGAATGCTCCAAACCGCATTGGCAAAGTCATCCCTCTCAGCGAAAAGCCTCAAAAGCATAATGTCGAGACGAATATTCCATTCCGGCACAGGCGAGGCACAGGGCAGGCGTAACGCAAGAAGACCGCTTGTCAGGGCGAGGTCAGCGGCCAGCTGCGGCTCCAGACGTGTCGTTCTTGGAATGGGATGTGTCAGTGACGTGGTCGAGAGTGTGGTTTTCGTCTGGGTTTTATCCGGTGGATGGACTGTGGAGATGTCGTCAGGCTTTTCGCCCGTTTCCTCACTGATACTGGTCCGCGTCTCGGATGTTCGTGTGACGGATGAGTTGTCTTCGTGAGTAGCTGACGCCTGGTCGTCCGAGGATTGACCATCTTCTTCTTTTGGAATTTCGGTGATCTGGCAGTTTTCACGGGGCTTTGACTCAGCAACCGCCGTTCCTTTTGCTGACAAGTTCTGCATTCTTTTTGCAATGAGTCGGGCTAAAGAACCGCTGCGAAGCTCGCACAGTCTGTACGCACTAACGGCAATTAGCTTGCACACCCGATTGATGCCATCCTTGCTCTTGGAGGACACATCCACCAGTTTGCTTGTTCTGGTGCGTACGATGCTGGAAGCCTCGTAGCACACGCGCTCAAAAATCAACTCGCCACTAACAAAGTTCCCTTGATCGACGCAGATCTCGCCCTGAAGCAGGACCTGCTCAAGGTAAGCACAGATTGCTTTGTATGTGTGAAGGTTAGGCTCCGTTTTGCTGGCAAGGACATGTTTGGCAAGCTCATCACGAAGGGGCGTGACTCGACTGTTGCACGTGTCAGATGTTACCTGTGGCTTGTTTTCTGATGTGGCCTCTGGAATCGGGCTATGCAAGTTGATCGAGTTGATGTGGTTGTGTAGCCACGGCAACACAGCAAACTTCACAAAGCTGTCAGTTCGGCTGACGTACCGATACTGCGGCTCCGCCGGCAACGACAGATTGTATCCCATGCCTCTCGCAAAAGGACACTTGACCATGATCCAAAGAGCGTGCATAAAGTCCGCCGAGTCCTTGTAGCCACAGACATAGAAGGGAGCGTCGGCCTTGGTATTTCCACCACTGAAAAGCATGACAGGGTCAAACCTGGACTCCCACGGCTTCGATTTATCGTACGGGGCGTTGATCAGCCGTGACGATGGAAAAGGCCCAAAGACAGGGATGCCGTAGTTTTTCAGCTTCGCGCCCAGCCCTCTGATGGCCGACTGCACCCCAACCACCTTGTTCTCGGTGTACAGGACCGTCTTGCCTTCCAGGTAGAGCTGTTTACATGTTTTCAGGATGGCGGGGTGTAGCTGGCAGCTATTTATGACCGGGGGGCTTCCGTTGATCTCTTGATTGCCTTTGTGCTTGAATGGTGCGGCTTCAAGAATGCGCCTCGGATTCAAGTAGAGCAACTCGGAGATGCTGTTCTGCGGGGGTCGGCGCGTGTGGGCCTTGCGGTTGCGATCTATGCGCAGGAGGTAGCGGAGGATCTTGAGGCGAAGCTCAACGGGCAGCCGCAGCAGCGACGAGGGATTCGACAGATCTTGGGATATAGCAGGTTGCGGTTCTTCCTCTTCATCTCCATCACAGTCAAAAATCAAACGGAGGGTCAGGACCTCCCTCGAAGGTAAAGGCATCTTCTGTGCATTGCGTGTCCGAGGTCGATGATGAGGCTACGCATACATGGGCGTTCGAGGGTTGGGGTAACGGGGCCGATCTGGACAAATCGAGAGTTATGGCTGCGGACCAAGCATCGTGTGGGTACCCGGGTTAGATGATGTGAATAGCAGTGGTACTCTGGGCAATGCGATTATACAAGATTACAATCGCCGGTTCTTGAGAGAAGGATGAATGCCTCGAGCTGGAGAGAAAGCGGGGACCATGTCTGGAGTTGAGGTGGAGAGAGAACGATGAATGTCAATGCGAAGTCAAACAGCCAGATGTAAGAGAAACAATGGGCGGACAGTCTAGTGAGACATTCCTACCAGAAAAGATTCAGTGCTGGAAGAGATTTGTAATAACATGAAAAATGGATGCAGATTCTGTAGAGACAAGCAAAAGGGTGTCACGCAGCCCAAAGGATTTATTCTATCGTGACAGCGAGCAGAGCGAGGTAAGCGAAGCGAATAGATCGATCGCCGCACGAGCCACACGCCTGAGTAAGCACGTCTTCCGTATCACGTATCACGTGACGTTGGGTGCCAAAAGGGGTCCCGTCGTGCCCGTCTCTCAAGACAAGTGAAACTACCAGGTAGTATTGTCCCTCCAAGTTTGTTGATAGCATGTTCACATTATCTCCATGTGTGCTGTCCGCTGCAATCTTGTCCTTCTAGCATACAAGGCCTCGAGTACGATGCGCATGACCCGTCTACCCATCACCCAGGTTCGGCTCTGGCCATGCTCGCACATTGTGTCGGAATGGCACAACATCGACAGTGCAGCTTGGCCCTTTCAGCTAGTGTCCATATTATCCCCACTGACTTTCCTCTTCTCTCTTATGAAGTTGACAAAGTCGTCGATTGCCATCGGCCACGCACCATCTTCTGTCCACCAACTCAGAGACTCCCCATCCGGTTCTTTAGTCTTCATAACCAATTCACCAACCATATTCCACAGATCTTTGTTGACTGGTCTCTTGTTTTGCGACTCGTAGAACTCACACCACAGGTCCAACCATTGGGTCGAAGGACTATTCCACTCAATTCCCCCTTTGCCTTGCCGGAAGAACATGTTCCAGAAGTCGATTGCCGAGTCCACAGGAACACTTCGTTGCCCTTCGGGTTTGGCGAGCTTGAATGCATTGCGGTAGACTTGTCTGAAATAGGCTGGAGTATTCGCCAGTTTCTTTCTGATCACATCGACGTATTGTGCTTGTCGTGCTATCGTATCGTATGTCTTGTCACCCGAGCTGACACTTCGCCACCCAGAAACGAACGACTCGCGCTCGAACTCGCCGATGGATGGGCACTGCAACAGGTCACAGATGCCCAGGTGAGCCACTTCATCCAGTTCCACTCCCAGATCGGTCAGATATTTCTGAGCGCCCTCTATGCCAATTGTGTCTGGGGCGTCTTTAGGATTGTCTGGAAGGAGGTCAGTAGTTGCTCGTCAGAGTCGTCCTCGGTTAGGTGCATACCGCGATATTGGTCAAAGAGCTTGTTGAGGTTGTGCTGAATGGGAGGAACAGAGTTGTTGCCGGATCCACTTTGATAGAATCTGTAACAGAGTTTGTGTCAGTCACTCTTGATCGGTAAGCATTCATGCACAGACCCTGGTGCCTTGGAACGAGGCGCTTTGCCACCGCCCCTCCTGGCTCTTGTCGGCACCTTCACAGACATAGGCGTCATGACTGCAGAGACATTCGGCGGAGATGACTTGGCGAGGTTCGCCTGGGCTGCAGATGCAGTAGGCTTGACCTTTTTGGTCTTGGGTGACTTCACGTCCAGCAACAGAGGTGAATCGGCGGACTTGCGTTTTGGTGGCATAGTGATAAGTTGATGGATACACAGTAAAGAGGTGGAAGAGAGAGACAGGCACATCCGTCACCCAGAGCGAACAGTGGGCCCTCTGAATGGGGGAAGGAATGAACATGAGAAAAAGGATCAATCAACCTGCAGCTCGGCAAGCTGGAGGTGACTTGACTGGGTTCAGGGTTGAGGGTTGAGATGATGATGCAACAGTCTTGGCAGGCACAGGCACTGCCTACCTGGTTGCCCGCGCCAATTTCACGTCCGTATCCCTCGCAGATTGAGGTCGGCCTCAAAGAAATACAGGGCAACAAAGGCTGAGGCAGTTTTGTTTCATTCTGCCTGCCGTGGCCTTTGACAACCTGTGGTCCACTTTGTCACGCGACACTTCACCACCCAAAGCGACCCCCAATTGCACAACACGGTGGGCGTCTGTCAATTGGCACGAAAGAATAGAGAAACTGCCGACTTACGAATCAAGCGCTCTTTCCAGGTTCCAATTGTGGGGTCTCAGAAACTGCCCCGATGCCCTCAGTCAGTTGCCTCCAAGAACCTCGAGTTCACGTACCCTTGCGGCTATGCTCTCCTTGGCCTGAGTGAAATTGACAAATTGGGTTATTTGTGATCTTTGCAAGGGGGAATAATTCGGCATTCTGCTTGGGGTCTATCGCGCCAATGTCCTGATACAGATGAAAGACAAAGGTGGGCTGATGGTGGCTGATGTGAAAGGCGGGACAGCCTTGTGAACGAAAATGGAGGATTAAAGTGGCGCAAATGGGAGAAGACTTTGGGGGTCTGAAGGGGTTTTAAGAATAAGAATCTCACGTTATGTGTGTGCAGCACAAGGGTCTTATAAGTGTCTCGATGATTTTGAAAACAGTGTTTCTTTGACGACGTTGGAGAGAAGCGCGCCCAAAAATGCGACGGATTGGGCTAAAAGTTGACGCAACCAGCGATGGCGACAGGATGGCAGGTCAAGCGAGGATTAAATTTTCATCTAATCTAATCAATTAACCGTCGAGAAATGAGATTGTAGCGGGGCACGAGGGGTAACGAGGAGGCAGTAGGACAGAATAGCACATGCTAATGTCACAGAGCTACATCCTTGTGCCAGACATGAACACTACCCAAGAGAAATTCACATTACACGGTATCCGCACAGAATATTTTCTTCCACTTGTTACTTGGGTTTGACTTACTCGTGGCTCAGTTGTTCAGGAGCAGTTCATGGCTGGAGACGAGCCTGTGCCGAGTAGACCAATCGTCTGAAGCGGGAGTTGACGGATCGTCCCCTTGGAGTGTTGGCGTTAAGCCTACCCAGTAGCTAGGCAGCTAGGCACCCAAGGGACTTCCCGGAATGTATGGTTTTGTCAACGAACTGGGTACCTCCTTTTGCATCTAGGCACCTGTTTTAGACCATCGTCTGGGCACGGCGCGAATCTTCCGCCGCCACTGCCGCTTTAAGGTCTCGACGCATCATCTGCCTTTTGAGGTCGTGCCAGACAGAGACCGTCCAGATACATGACTGTATCAGTCCTTGACACGGAACATCATGGCCGCCAGCTTGATCAAGTTGTCATACACCAATATCTTGACCAGAAATCCTACAACAACAACAGCCAAAAGCTTCATCTTTACAACCAACACTATCGCGTATGCCTGAAATGCTTGCTCTCGGAGCGGAGTCTCTCGCCGCAGCCAGCGGGGACGATGAACGTAGACGTAGTATGTTGCGCAGGCGGTGAGCCCGTACATGAGACGGCCAGCGGCGGGCAGAGTCAACCCCCAGTAGAGGCACTGGAATAATAGAGTCTCTTGATTGCTGCGCTGCATCTGGCAAGTGAAGCAAATCACCTGCCACAGCATGTAAAGGATAACAATCCCAACAATCGCCAACATTGTAACAAAGGCTGTATTTCTCGGCGGTGTGGTGTCGACATCGCTGAGGTTCTTGTTTTCGGCATTGCTCTCATGAGGGACTGAGCCGATATCGAGGGACTTTCTGCCGCTTTCCTCGTGCTGCAACGTCTGATGTCCAGACTGGCCATCTTCAGCAGCGACAAAAGGAGTTTTTTCGTCGACGAATTCGAGAATGTGGAGAGGGAATTCGCTCAAGAGAGGCGTCGCAATAATACAAAGAAAGTATCGGGTGACTAGCCGCATGTCTACGATCGTGAAGGTTGCAATTTCAACAGGGGAAGATGCTATATCCCTCCACTTTCAAGGTTGCTGTTCTTTGTAACGCGCTTTTTAGTCGCTGGGCAGGGCCTGGCCAGCTTTTGGGCAGCGCTTAATACGGCCTGGCACCGCATCGCCAACCAAACAGAGCCTATTCTAAGTTAGATAGCATAAGCTCAGAACTGTCACTATCAAGCACGGTCTACCCAAAGCTGTTCAAAATACAAAGCACAGCGCCTGATTGACTCGACTTGGGTTTGAGGTCGATCTTCCAAGAGCTCAGTTCGATCAAGATAGCCATCGGTAGCGTGGTCAACTGTCAGGAATTCATCACTGTGACCGTGGCTACTATCGAATGTGGGGAAACTGCCAGTGCTACCTCTGCTGGTACTTGTGATATTGCGCTGAACACTTGCTGGGCCCATCCTTTGGTAACAACGTTGTACGTCTTGCTAGAAATGATCTTTTGTGTTGAAACGGGGCACAGTTGTGGATGTATGAATGTATTTATTATTATATCTGCTTATTTCCCCCCGGTTCAGAGAGTGCTTCGCACTTGTATATCAGTTGGCTTGAACTTGTGGTCCCGACTCACTCCCCTGCGGTTGATGCCAGTATGAGCTTTCGAGTCTCGCCATGCCCGCGCTCCTTGGCCAAGTCGACAGCTCGTCTCCCATCCCGCAGGGCTGCATTCCCATCCGCACCTCGCCTCAGTAACAACCATACGACGTCGTTGTGGCCTCCGTAGGCTGCCTCGTGCATGGGCGTCCACCCCCGGTTATCGCGTGGATCTGTCTCGCCCTTGCGATCCCGTTCCAGCAGCCAGCCCACCAAGCTGATATTTCCGGCTCGCGCTGCGTCATGGACGGGTCGGCGTCCGCTTTTGTTCGTGGGGACAGGATTGGCGTTTTTCTCAAGCAGGAAGTAGACCACCTCTTCGTGGCCTTCACGGACGGCGAGATGGAGCGGCGTGTCCCGGCTGAATTTCAATTGTGCATTCAGATCGGCATGATATCGGTGAAGCAGTGCCACAGCTGTTGTGCCCGCCCTCGCTGCGTCGTGAAGAGGTGTGCTTTCCCACATGGAATCTCGTGCGTTCGGATCTGCCCGATGCTCCAACAACAGCTGGACCAGGGCGAGATGACCACAGCTTGCAGCTTCGTGTAAAGGAGTCTTTCCACTCTCAGCTGCTAGGTTGGGATCTGCCTGCCACTGGAGCAGAAGTTCAACGACATGCTTATGGTTGCGGACGGCTGCTCGAAAAATCGCCGTCTCTCCTGGTCCCATTATGTCTCCATTGGACTTGATCTTCCATCTAGGGCCAGATATTGTGGCCGAATGAGACGACAAAGCGCCCAGTGGTCTGGATCGGAAAATGTCAGTTTCTTTGCTTCTAGTTCTTCTTCATTGGGTTGGCCGCACCGGGGCTCCGTGTCCCAAAAGTTCGGACGGGCTCCCTTTCTCAGCAGACACAGCGCTTCCACGACCAGGCCCAGATCAGCAGCGAGTCTCAACGCCTGATCTAAAGGTTCTGGTGTGTGGGCAAAGTGTGCCACGAGACCTTCAGCGACTGCGTGATGACTATCGGACGGATCATGGACATTTCGACTCGCAAAAGAAGAGCCTGCTCGCAGATTAGACCAAAGATGCCTCGATGCCTACGGAACCAAACCAACCACTGGTGAATCCGAACGACTCGAGATAACCCCTCAAATAGTTGCGGACGGACTGGTACGTGTCATCAGCCGAACTCGCAAATTTGACCATGGTCGAATGATCGCCATCGACGGGGATTGCTTCTTCGATCTGATGCGGCAGATAAAACCTGGCAGAGGGTTCTTTCACAACCTCTATATACTCTCCGGAGCGCCCATACGAGCCGTCCTCATTCTGCCGAAATGTAAGACACGCATTGGCTGCTACCTGGACCGACCCGGAAACTTACCTTTGCAACTGCCCTGGTCATTCGAGTCTCATAAAACGAAACAATCTTTTTGCCCATGGTCATGTTGATGAAGCTCTCCATGATGGGATTGATCCCCGAGGAAGATTCGATGATTTCATTCACCAGCTTTTCCCTCTGAGGCGGATAATCTAAATCTTTGACCATTTTAGTGACATCGGAGAGGCTGATACCACGATGTGGTACACCAAAGAAAAGGAATGCATGAGTTGCTTTGACCAAAGACCCATCATCCTTCTCTCTGGCCTTGACCAGCGCCTATATTTCCAATCTCGTCGTCAGACTCAGCTCCTCCAGTGACGAAATCAATGGTATACATACATGAGCGATAAGAATGCCTCCAAAACTGTGACCCAAAAAGACTATCGGCCGATTTCTCTCCTACATCATCTTTTGTGTCAGCCCAACGACCAGCGCCAATGGATGCCACACACCTCGCGGGTTTTTCTCGCTTTCCTGAGTTCCTCTAGAAAGCTTCGGACGTAGTCTCTGGTCATGTGGACAGCTTGATCTTTCAATTTGGCGTTGTACCCGAAAATCATGGTCCTACAAGCTTTCAAATATTCATCTTCACAGAGAAAATCGCGAAGCCACATCCGGTCCTTCCCTCCGGTCCACGAACCGAAGGCATGGCCGTTGAGTCCGGTGACTGCAATAATGCTGCCGAGATTCCTCGGTCAGTGTTTTGATGTGCCCAAAGGAGACCATTCTCAGTACTTACTCAAGAGGAATTCTGCTCCCGTGGGTTGGATACAGTTGAGTGAGACCATAGAAATCCTGGTCGATGTCTATGTCCCTGGAGCCTTTCACCTCGATCTGTTCTCTCTTCTCGCTAAGACGGCTAAGAAAGCTAGGCATGGATGGACTAAACTTGATGATGGCGGTCTGAGTCTCTCCATCATCTGTGCATGTTGGAGCAAGTGTTATTTTGCATGTTATCGTCGTCTTCTCCGAGGCCTCGAATCGACGACAGATGACATCCTTTACACTCTCGAAGCTATATTCCAGGGGCACATTGCGGGCCCGGACTGTGTTTCTGTTCTTGTTGGTGGCCATGTTTGGTAGACTCTATCGCCGCGTCAAGGAGGATGACCACCAGAATCTAGTCGAGTGCTTCGGGAATATCTCACTCCATCATCCTCCGACAGTCATTGCAATACAAAAGGCAGAAACGCGGAGCTCGTATTCTATTTGCCTGAGGCAACCTGGTTGGCCGCATCACTTTCGGCAAACTACCTCTTCTAACTGGTCGTTGGACTGGACCATTTGCTGCACATCTGCCTGAAACCACTGGACACCACCACCCTGTATCTCTCTAGTTCGCCAACTGACGTGTCTTGTGGACCTGGACCCACGTATGCAACTAGTCATGAGGCTGAGTAGATGGATGCCCTCGCAGGGCACTTCCCACTCCTCCCTCAGACGAACGACAGAGCATTTGGCAGATGCAACTGACACCAGGCCTGCGAATACATAAAGACAAGATCACATTACTGTACCATCATTACCCGCTGTAACAACCACCATCCCCTCCAGAATGACCCAACACGCAAGCCAACTGGCGGAGAAATACACCCAGAGCCTGACTTCTATTCTTGGAGAGGCCAATCTGCGTAACCTCTTAGAGAGCCATGTCAACAGATCCATGGACAGCATCGACAACGTCAATCCGGACGCTCTCGATGGACTCATAGGGGCAGTGTCCGAGCGATCGGCGATTGAAATGATAAGGATGTTTCCAACTTTGCTCCAGGAACGGATACAGAGCCCGGCGATTCGGAATGCACCAAAGATGGATGATGGTATGTCGAAACTCCTTGAATTCCCTCGAGTGTGCCTTCAGCTGATAGCTGATCCTTTTCCCTGAACAAATATAGCTGGGCATCCCGTATCAAGGCCCACCTATGGACCACCCCTCGGAGGGAGTGATCTAGGGTACTTCAATAACAGAAACACCGATTGGGGGTTGGAGCCAAAACCCTCATTCGACGGATCTCAGGCTTCAACCTTGGTCCCCGAACGCCAGGAGCCATATCAAGACCGCCGAGGTCGTTATTCCTCGGAAAATGAGCCACCAAAGCGAGGCGTCGAGTTTTCCCAATCACCTTTCTCTCCCGAGAGACCAGCGCCGACTCAACCACACCGAGGTGTTGAGATATATAACGCACCGTTCGTTTCTGGGAGACCATCACATACTCAACCACCCCGAGATGTCAGGTCTTCTAACCCTCCGTTCATTTCAGGGATATCACCAACATTTCAGCCAAACCGAGGTGGTGTCGAGTCTTCTAAGCTACCTTCTACTTCTAGGATATCACCGCAAGGAAATTCAAAGCTCTTTCCCATTTCAGAATGGGCCGAACAGAGCCCGGAAAGCAACCGCAAAAGGGCAGTCCAGATGCAAGAGCCCGGCTCGACTGCCGTGGACCCAGCCGCATCATATCCCAAAGGACCGGATGCAAATGTAAAACGGCCCCAAAGGGAGTTACCCCCAACATACAGTGGCCTTGGGCAGCCTTCAGCGAATCCGATAAGTTCTTCAATGCCGGCTCGGGAACGTGACCATGGAGCATTCTCTTCCGAGACCAGACAATCAAGAATGCGCGAAGAGCCCCCTCTCAGCAGCCGGCCTGTGTCCCAAAATGAGGAGAGACCGCTCACCCCAGACGGTGGATCCTCGGAGTCCGATTTCGAAGAGCGACCACTCACTCCTCTCTCAGACGATTCGGAACAAACATACGCGGAAGTGACCAATTCTCCGCAGAAAAGCCAAGAGTTCCTGACAAGGACGATCGAGAATATCGGACTCACAGAGTTCTATGGCGAGGACCACCCCAGGTTGCAGACCGTCGCCGCCAACGCTGCCGCCAGAGCGGCCGGTGTCGCAGCCCGATATGGACTACCGCCGAAAACAACCCTTGGAGCGATCAAGCTCGCCCTGTACAACTTTGTGATCCTCTGTGGTAAGTTATTGTACTCACTCCGGAAAAGGGGGCTGGGCTCATCCATCTTGG